GTCTTCATCATGGCCTTTACAGGTGTGATGGAGTTTCGGTGGGGTTTGGCGTCACAGATGCTAGATAGTCCTCTGCTTTTGGATCCTTTGGGAGGGTTGAGACAGGATTCTGATGAAGAAGAAATAATGGATTGTGTTGACTTTCACTTTCCTCAGTTTTTACTAAACTCAAACACAGTTCTCATGCATTACTAGGTTGGAGAAACGTATGGTAAGGATATAACCTCCAGGGGCAAAGACAAGCCGATTGCCGTATGTAAAACTTTCAGTCGACCTCAGTTTCAAGCTTTATCTGTTCTCTCGTTTCACTTAGTTCCCCAGGATTTCCTCTCGAGCCCCACGTTCCTTGAGTGCTTTGTGTTCACTTCACTCGAGGTTGGGTTTTGCTTGATGAAATGTGCTTTCAGTGGAGCGAGACAGTTTACCTACTAGCTCGAATTAAAGCAGTTTGTGAACTGCTTGCTTCCCTCCTCCCGCGTGGAAGGAGGGACCTTCGTGAGGGGCCTCCCAGGCCGTCGAGGCTCCACGTGACGCCCACCCACCGTGGAGCGGGACTGAGCATGGCTGCGGGCGCCTCCTCCTCCGCTTTGGTGTCCCCTGGTGTCTCTGGTGTCCGGGGCGCGGCTCTGCGGCTGAGCTAACCTCTCCCTGCTTCCAAATGATGTAACCCGGTGCCGACCTGCCGCGGTGATTCTCCGACGAGCCTGTGCATGCGCTAGCGTTTGTTAAATGTCATTTATAAAAAGCTGTTGTGTGGGATGTTTCTTTCCCTTTCCAGGTACAAGGGATCAGCTGGATGATTGAAAGTGCTAGCTTGGGAATTGTGTTAGCTTGGGAGAAGATACATTTCACAAAGTAGCAGAATTGCCTTTTTCTAGGAAAGGGATTTATAAACCTAGCATTTTAGAAACTCTTAGGCATTTTAAATACAGCTAAATATTTAAATTTGACTCGACACAATAGAGTGGGGCAGAGGTTTTATGTTTAGTCGGAAATTCTTCCAGGTATTTATTCTGCACGGACTTTTCCTCTGAATCTTTATTTCGGCTACGACTGCCCAGCGTCGAGTCCTCCAGAGCCCTGCTCGGGGCTCAGAACCGACAGCCGGGAAGATGCCGCTTACACCCGGGAACCTCCGTCACGGCGGAAGGTGCTCAGCGAACAGCCGGACCCCACTCTGTGCTGGGGACCCCGGTGGCAGTTCTTAAAGCAGTTTAATTGCAAACCAGTGGTCAACTGAAAGTGTACTTAATGTGCACCCGGGAGCTTAATGAAAAGCGTGCCATTTATACATGTTTTTTAAAATCGACTCTGCTTTTGAAAAACAGACCACGTTTTACAGAAATGAGTGGTACCTTGACCCTGGTTTGGTCCCTGTATATAAATAAGAGCATTAAAGTTGCCAGTGGGAGTTGGGAGTGTGAAGGAAGAGGCCTCCTGGGGGTCTGATTGGAGGCCTCTCCAGTCTCTAGGAAATGCTAGCACATTCTAGTAAATCCTCTCCCCTCTTCTCGTAAGTAGCTGGCTGCTTCATGTGCTGGTTCTGGTCTGGGAGCTTCTGACAGAACTGAAGGGTTGTAACCAGGGAGTGAGCTTTAGACACGGACTGACGGTGCATAACATGCACTTCGTCTCGTGAATCGTCCCCACAGTGTTTACGAAGCAAAGCGCGCTCGTCACTGTGAGATCATTTCTAAATGCCTCTCTTTCCTCTTTATAGGATGTATTCTTAATTTGCTTTTCTCTTGTGAGTCCTGCGTCATTTGAAAATGTTCGAGCAAAGGTAAGCCGGGATGTTTTAGACCAATGTTTTGTTACATAGTGTCATCTTTGGGAGGTGAAACTACCATTTAGTGATAGAAATTTTAATGATTTTGTAATTCTACTTTAGGTAGATCAATTTTTGAAATCATTGACTTTATTATGTAGAATTCTAAAGTTCAGGGTCTGATTCAGAAACGCTGCATCCCTTGTTAAAATAACACTTTCGAGTCCATCTGATGGAGTCATCTGCTAAAACAGCGGCCATGACTTTCCTCTCCTGCGTCTTTCACACACTTCCAGTGAAAAGTGCCATGCGCGGGATGTTCGTTGTGATCAGGGATGTGTCCAGTGAGAGTAGTGGTGGCAGGGCTAAGACCTCAGTCCACATAATTCATGCTCACTGTTGAATATATGTAGGTAGGATTCTCAGAGTTCATGTAAGAGCTTGACCCATTTTACCAAAAGATAGTTTTTTGGGGAAGGAAGACCTTCCCTTCCTACCCCCTCCCCCCCAACACGGACAAGTAGAGCCTGTTCTGTTGGGTCTTAGTCTTGGAATCCTGGTTTGCTGATCAAACACCCACAGGTAGGCAGGCCTGTGGTTCTTGAAAGTATTGAAGGGGAGGGTGGCGTGAGCACGGCAGGGGGGGCGGTCCTGCCAAAAGCGCTGAGGGACTAAGGTGGGGTGGTGGGGTCAGTTGGGCACCCGGATGGGTATCGTTTAGGCAAAGAAAGTTCATGAGGGAGGGGAACGTGTCATGACTTTCTTCTCTCTTGCATCTAGTGGTACCCTGAAGTGCGACACCACTGTCCCAACACCCCCATCATCTTGGTGGGAACTAAACTTGACCTCAGGGACGACAAAGACACGATTGAGAAGCTGAAGGAGAAAAAGCTGACTCCCATCACCTACCCGCAGGGTTTGGCCATGGCGAAGGAGATCGGTAGGAAATCCTTGCATTTTCACGTCTGCTTTCTTTGCGCGGGTTTTATTTTCGTGACAGACTGGACTCCAGTCTGGGGAAGTAGAGAGCGTGTTTTCCGACTCAGGGTCGTGGTGACGCTCACCAGGTGGGTGCAGGGTCAGGGCTGCTCCGCTGGGCCACACGTGCCGGCAGGTGGCGGGGCCCGGGGAGCTGCTTCTTCGTCCTTGTCCGGGTGAGAAGAGCGGGGCTGAAAGAGGCTGTCTCCCGGCAGGTGCTGTAAAATACCTGGAGTGCTCGGCGCTCACGCAGCGAGGCCTCAAGACAGTGTTTGATGAAGCTATTCGAGCGGTTCTCTGCCCCCCTCCCGTCAAGAAGAGGAAGAGAAAATGCCTGCTGTTGTAAATGTCCGGGCCCCTCTCCTGCCCTGCCCCCCTCAGAACCTTTGTACGCTTTGCTCAAAAATGGTGGAGCCTTCGCACTCAATGCCAAGTTTTTGTTACAGATTAGTTTTTCCATAAAACCATTTTGAACCAATCAGTAATTTTTAGGTTTTGTTTGTTTAAAGTGTAAGACTTCAAACTTTCACATTATATTAAAATTTAGCCCTAAAATGGTAAGCTTTTTTAAAGCCTTATTTTTCAGAAGCCCCTATTCTTGCTCAGATTAAGAGTTGCCAAAATACCTTGTGAACTAAATTGCATTGTTGTGCTGAGAACACTAAGCACTAAACCGTTTAAGACCTTTGTCTTGAGAAGAGACCGCAGCCAGCCTCTCAAGTTCGGACGCACAGACCCCTGCTGGCTGATCTCTGCCGGGAGAGCCCCCAGCCTCCTTCCGGAGACTGGCGGCCGCCTGGCGCAGCCCGGCCACCCCCAGCACCGAGCTGTGTGTCCTCCTGGAACGAGCGTAATGACTCAGCTCTCTGATCAATCTTTTTGATTTTGTAGTGAGATTTTTTTTTTTTTTTTTTTTTTTTTTTTTTTTTAAGTAGTGTATTCGCTTTTGCTGAGATTTGGAACCGCCCTCTGGCTCCCGCCCGTGTGATGAAAGGGTCCGCTGTGGCCGTGGGCACCTGGGGAGGGTGTGTGGGCCACGGGACGCGATCAGAGGACGAAGACAGTATTCTGACAAAACACTACACTGTGCACGTCATTACTAAACTGAAAGTGTCACGGGTAAAATCTTAAAAAGGTTAATTTCTGTCAGATGCAGTAAATGATGAAAGGTCGGTATCATCACTAAGTGTTTTAAGCTTTTTTTCTTAGACTCCATCCCTCCTGAGATCGGGCATTTAATTCATCTTTGAACTGGTCGTTCCCATAGTTGCTGACTTAGTGCTTTTCTTATAGAACCCCTTCTTAATGAGCAATATGCCTCCTTGTATTATAAAATCTTTCTGATAATGCATTAGACTTTTTTTTTTTGTAGGTTAGTGAAAGTGCATTCCTGTTCCCTTGTTACTTTACTCAGAGCTAATAAGCGCTTTCCTTAGTTTTCTAGTAACTAGGTGTAAAAATCATGTGTTGCAGCTTTACAGTTTTTGAAATATTTTAGATATTCCTAAACTATGAACTTTCGTAACATCACTGTCTTGCCAGATCACCAGTACTGTACCTTGACTAATGCTGACCCTCCTCCTCGCCGCCTTCCCCCGGACACACGCTTCCTGTCGCTCTGCCTAATCAACCACGTTCCTTTGGGTCTGTGAGGTTCTGTAAGCCCGTGCTCGTGCTAACCAAGTTCTGTACAACTTACCCGCTGGCAAGAATCCAAGGTTGGACCTTTCAACCACTAGAACAAAGTTTTTTAAATTGACCGTTGCAGACTTGTGGAGTGTTTTTACATTGATCTTTTGCTAATGCAATTAGCAGTTATGTTTTGCATGTGTGACTTAATAAATCCTTGAATCATATGACTGTAATACTTGAATTCTTGAGAGCTCGAACGACCTCCTGGGGTATGTGTACGTTTGCCTCACCTGAAATCCTAGGCGCTTGGAAACACTTATTTCCAGTGCAGGTTTTCATGCTGGGGGACGGGGAGAGGCCCCTCCAGGGGAGAAGCTGAAGAGTCAGCAGGGACCGGTGGGGAGTCAGGCTGGGTTTGGGACCTTCGGATGCGGGTGGGGCGTCCACATGGGTGCTCGTGCAACTGGGGCCAGAGCTCTGGGCTAAAGCTGGCGGCTGTTGGGAGCCCGAAAAGGGGGAAGGAGGCCGATTATGACTTTAAGCCTGAAACGGTACTTCAATGAACAGGTCATGTCAGAATCCATTTTCTAAATCCTTTATATCATTCTGAGGATTGCTTTATTTTTGAGTATTTTTTAAAGATGTTTTTAAAAGGCAGTTTCAAGACCATGTAGTTCTGAAGGTTTGCTACAAAAACCGCTGTCTCCCATCACACCCTCCCCCAAGGCAACCAGTTTGAGTTCTTTTAACCTTCGTTTTATCTCCATACGGCTAAGTGATGTAGCTTTTTACCTACCAGTTTTTATCACCAGTTGCTTAGCAAAGAGGGATGCGTAGGGCCGGGTGTGGGGGAGAACAGAGCCCCCACGCGGTTCCCAGCTCCCTCCCCACCCCAAATCTCCCCGTGTTCACCGATCCAAACCGCCAGCTCTCTGGACCCGTCCCGCTGGGTGAGGCTTCGTCACAGAGGCGTGCGTGCCTGATGCGACCGCCGGCTCTTTGCTTCACTCTCCAGCCCCTCTCCCCTCCGTGGGGGTCTGGCGAAGTCACAGGACTTTGGTGCCGGTTGCGGTTTTCAGTTTCAGCCGTTACCACTGGTCCTCCCAGGAGCCCCGGCTCTTTCCCAGTGGCACCCCGCCCCCGGCATACCTTTCCTTCCCGATCCTGGTTGGTGTTTGCTATTTAGCATCCGTGTCACTGTGCAGATGCGCCTGGCTGAGCCACTGAGGAACAGGACTGTGCTGCACAACTACTCGTTTCTTTGAGGATAATTAAGACTGTTTGCTCCTCTGTGTGCTTCACGATTTAACTGCAGACTTCCAGCCGATACCGAAATTCCTCAGGATGTTTGCTGAGTTTCAGCAATTTGCATTTTCCTAAAGTCTCAGAATCCTCTGGCCACCACTTTTCTTTTTTTTTTTTTTAAATTTTTTTCAACGTTTATTTATTTTTGGGACAGAGAGAGAGCATGAACGGGGGAGGAGCAGAGAGAGAGGGAGACACAGAATCGGAAACAGGCTCCAGGCTCCGAGCCATCAGCCCAGAGCCTGACGCGGGGCTCGAACTCACGGACCGCGAGATCGTGACCTGAGTTGAAGTCGGACGCTTAACCGACTGCGCCACCCAGGCGCCCCTGGCCACCACTTTTCTTATGTGTCGATGTTTTGTTTTTTTTTTGAGTTTATTTTTTAGTAATCTCTACCTCCAACGTGGGGCTCAGACTCCGACCCCAAGATCAGGAGGCACTGCTCTACCTACCGAGCCAGCCGGTGCCCCCGGCTCCTTGTCTCTTAACTTGCTTCCTCTTGCCGAACACATTCTCCGGGTGTTTCCTGAGAAAGAAGCATGTGGGGAACCTGTGCTCTCACGTCTTGGCCACTGCAGTTGTGTGGGATGTCTCCCCGCCTTGCACACCCTGTGCGGCTGCTGTCCCTTGTACTTCCCCCTCTGTCCTGCCTGCCCTTCTGCAGGTGGCCGCCGCCTGGCTGCTTTGGAGTTCATCTTTTTTCCTTTAAATTTCAGGTGTTCTTGCTCATTCTCTGCCACTTTTTCAGTCTCGGGATCTGTCTTCTCTGTCCGCAAGTAGTGGTGGGGGTAGCTGGAAGTTTCTCCTGGTTGCTTGTCGCTCACGTGCCTGGTGGTCCTTGGCCTCGGGCTTAAAGGTCGACAGCCTTTACAAAGCAGATTGGAAACAAGCCCACAGGTGGCGTCCACGGGCGTCTCAGATCTGTCAGCTTTCTGCCCCGAGTGTACAGGAACCACGGGAACTGTGTCTAGAACCCAAACTCACAGCAACTGGACATTACCGTGGCATCTCAACTGGAGTTTTCTAAATGGGCCTTTGCAGGTTTGCGGAACCTAAGGCGTTAATGGCTGTGACAGCTCAGAGGCCCTGAGGGAAGGGTCTCTAGAGGTCAGATAACTTGGAGAATCTTCATGAAGGTTCTGGCAGCCAAGGGTGAGAAGCTGAGAGACCTCATCCCCTTGCCTTCAAGTGCGCTGCTGTCCGGGGCCCCCTCCACCCCAGAGCGAACCAAGGGCCAGATTTCTTCCAGCTTTCTGGCAGACCAGCTCACCTGACTAGTCCTGTGCCGCGCTCTGTCCCAGGTGCCTGGGGAATCTGAGCTGTAAACCAGGGCAGTTCTGGTCTTTCCTCCTCCACGTAAGATCCTGTTTTCCTCCAGTCGACCATTTGTTCTTTCTCTTCTCTCCCCATCCTGGTGTATTTATGCTTTTTAAAGAGACCAATTTACCATCATTTCCTAGCGTTTCGGTGGGGTTAAATCCGATGTCTTTGCAATCTCAGTCTTTAGCCCAGAGCTCCAAGAAAAAAACTATCCAAGAAGACTTCATTTTTGTTCAGACAGAAAGCTTTTCAAACGCGATTGCTGTAAAACTAGCAGTAAAACAGGCCTTCCCTCAAACATCCAGTGGAAGAGTACGTCACTGTACAGACACGAACGACACATGTAAGTGCTTTATTATAAACTCCCTCGGAATCCACTGGCTGACGTCCAAAAGCCAAAGTAATAGGTGAAAATAAAGCAGCTTGATGTTGAGGCTGGAGCGCCGAGGAGCAGTGGCCCCAGTTCCCAGCCTGTCCTCGGGGCTGACCCTTAGCGCCACCCAGGAGAAGACCCATCCGTACCCTTACGGTGACGCACTAAGATTGTGTAGCCAGGAAAATCCAGTCTGCCGGGTTCAGACTCCTAAACAGTGGTAAGACGAGACCCTGTCAGTGAAAAGGTAGGATGGGGGGGTGAGAGTCCACAGATCTGTCAGGTCCTTAAACCTGGCCGTGGATCCCAACTTTTGCCGGGACGGTTCTGAGATCATCAGGGAATTGCCCTGGAGCTTCCCGAAGCTTCCTACACGAGTCCCGTCATCTCCGTGTTCTCTCCTGACACCCGATCTTGCTAACACTGTGATCGAAATGACTTCCCAAATCGTTCCGTGATTCAGAAGACCACCAAATCTAGTACCTGTCGGATTCCTATCGACGGACATCCACCGGCATCACGGACGTCACTCTGCTACTGTCCACGTAAGAACAAAAGTGTGAGTCTGCCGTCCTCGAGCGGTTTAGAGTAGCTCTACTTACACCACGTCCACGTTGGAGCCACCTCCGGGGGGACAGAAAACGTAGGCGGCCCTGTCGGACACCACGCTGTCCAAGGCTTTCATCAGGACGTCGGGCATGTGGTCCGTTAACATCTTCGGGCCGATGAGTATTTTGCTGAACTGTGATTCGTGTGCCCACCTCGCACTGTACCGAGCGGCGGCGCGGCAAAACCTGGGACAGACAGAAGCTGAACTAGCGGAGCGCCCCCCTTGGCTGGAAGCGCACGTCAAGGGGGACCGAGCCACGCCGCCCGCACTCACCTCCCTGAGGTGCCTTCTTCCTCCAGGTGGATGATCCTGCCGGGAGGGTAGAGATGGGGGTACTTGGCGGGGGACTCCAGGGGGGAGTCGCTGGAGAAGCTGTATGTCGGGGACCCGTGCGTCAGCAGGCTCTGCTCCCCCAGAAGCGGCTGCGTCAGGTGTCCCTGGGCGCCCCCGTCCAGCTCTGTTGGAAGGTTGTCAGGGTCGCCTCCGAACAGCTCATACCAGCACCCGCGCAGCAGGATCTTGTACTGAGGGCAGAGCAAGAAGGCAGGTGCCTGTTACCCAGTCCTTCCCGGGCCACACAGACCTCGGACCACAGCACTTGCTGCGGGACGGTGACCTCAGAGCTCAAATGCCTCCCTGGTTTGTTTAAACCACGGGTCTTAGGAGCGTGGACCTCAGTGGCCTGAACTCCTGTATCTCTTGCACAACGAAGCCACATCAAACTTGAAGCAACAGTAAAAACCACATCATGCAGATTTTGAGAAAAAGTGACCCTTAATTCTTTTTAGGCAGTTCTGCCAACCAGCTTCATTCTTTCCCTTAAGCACATTACTTTTTAAAAATTTGAGGAGTGGGGAGTAGTTGGTAAGGAGAAAGCTTATTAAAAGAATTTTTTTGAAAGTCAGAAAACTTTGTTTTCATAGTAAATTAAATCATCAAAAACTCGGGGCGCCTGGGTGGCGCAGTCGGTTAAGCGTCC